GCAAGGTGCAACCGTGATGAGCAGCGGGCTTTTTGTGCCAATCGTGTCAAAGGTGCTAACTTCCCTCCTCGTGAGCGCTACCACTGCTCCCCTCACTTGCCATACATGTACAGAACCGTGATGAACTGCAGGAGGGCTCGCTTCGATCCCTTGCTGACTAAGGAGATTGGGGCCCCCCATTTGACTGCAATAGTTTTCAACTGCTCCACTGGGTCGGATGCTAGCTCCTGCTTGATGAGATCAAGGTAGGTCGCTTGGTTGGACAGCGTGCGTTCGTGTAGCCACGCCTTGAAGACCTTGTCCGTGAGGCTGGTGGGAAGTGGTACCTGTTGACCTTTGGGATTTCCTTGACGTAGAAGTTCTGAGTCTAGTGTGATGTCCGGGGCAGTCTCCGGGGTCTTTCTCTTTGCCGGTCGTCGCTTAGGAGCTGGATCAGCCTCTGGAGATGGAACTGGTAGGGGAGGTCCTTGAGCATCTGAGTTGGCCGCATTGATGTAGAGGGACTGGTCGGAGCGGCCAGGCGTGGGGGTCCAGGACGCGGCATTGGAAGGTGACGAGGATGGCAGCTTCTTATCCGGTGTAAGAGTGATGCCCTTGTTCTTGTAGCGCTCCAGCTGTTGTTCCAATTCGGCAATTTTGTGGCGAGTGAGGTTCTCCTGCTTTGCGGGCTGCAACGACTCCATGAGATCCACGATTTTGAGCGCAAGCGGCTCCATAAACTGCATAGCTTCATTGCGCTTGTCCGGCGCATTGTCCGCGTGGAGGGAGCGAGCTGTCCTGTCGATGTCGACCTCCCTGCCTCTCAATGCTTTGAGAATGGATGTCAATAAGACTGCCTCGGCTATCGTCTGAGCCATGACTGGTGTGCTATATCGCCCATTTGACAGTGCTCGTAATGCGTGATCTTCTGCTCCTCCTCGAAGAAGTCGTGTCAATGGAAGATCCAGGATAGCTGTTCCTGCGAGCCCGACCCTTCTGGACCACTGAGTAGGCTGAACGTGACGGTACAGCTGCAGACCACGGACCTCCGTCTTGTCGAGGAAGATGTCGTCAGATTGAAAGGTGCTTGGAAGTAGCTGCGAGTACCGAGGCTGAGTGTACTGCGTTGCATCACCTTGGCCTAGAGGTGCCCGAACTGGAGGTTGAACTGGCGGTGCTGGTGGTGGAGGACGAGGACCTGTCTGCATGTGGTTTGTTCCACCACCGTGATAGTTGTAAAACTGACCAGGAGGTTGAGGAGGGAACTGGTGAGCCATATGTGGAGGTCGAGGAGGATTGACACGAGGCACTGCTTCCTCTCGAGGTTGATGTTGCAAGGGTTCCATCCGATTGGAGCTCAAATAGACCTCCTGCTGGGACTGCGGAACTGACCATGATGGAAGATACGAGGATCCCGGATGCGAAGAGGAGGAGGGTGCCGATGTCGCCGGCCATGAATAGTTCCACTGAGAAGCCATCACGAGATGGGAGTGTGCCGTCAACACTGCTAATAGATTAAAAGCTAGGGATACGTCACACATCGCCAAGACGGCAGACATTGTCAAAACGGCACCCGAATTTCAACCAGGCTCAGGGCAGTTTGAAACAGGGAAACAGCATTAGTCACACGACTCATCAAAAAGGAAAGAACCCGCGGTAAGGCCAACACGCGCTTGAATGAGGCTCTGGCGTGCACTTTTTGTCGCAAAATATCGTCGGTGGTCGAAGACGGCAGTGTGGCGAAGTATGCTCTTATTCGCAATGAAACATCATTAATTGCAGCAGCTCCTGGTGCAGGTTCACGAGCGGAGGACACCGGTGGGTGGCTTTGTATCGGTAGGCCATGCGAGTCCAACGATCTGACTTGCCTCCGGGATCACCATCCAACACTTGCCCGACACATAGTGGATAACATCAGGACGTTCACTGGAATCCAGGGCCTCAATGCAAGCTTGCTCTCCTCCCGATCGAATCGGCTGACAGGTGCCGACAGCGCGTCCAAACAACAGCAATTGGGCCATGTTAAAAGACATGCTCCAGTTCTGGCTCATCGTGCGAGCAATTTCTTCAGCGTCATAGTCGGCATGTCCAGTGATCTTCCAGCCCTGGGCGTAAAAGGCTGGGCACTCCGAGGAGTGCTGCCGGGAAGGATGGATCTGTCGGCTCCGCAGGATGCCTCGAGTACCGCCGACACTGGATGCGTGAGTCCAGAGCAGCATGGGTCGCGTCTTCGTCGGTTCTTTGAGCCGAACTGTGGCGCCAAGGTAGGGGACGGTCAGCATGAACCAGTGCGGGGTGATCTTATAAAAGTGATGGTCCGGGTTGACCTTCGCATAGTTCAGAGTGGAGTGCTGAGACGGTATGCCGGCTGCATTCAAGGTAGCGGCCACATAGTCCATCTGCTCCTGATTGACCGGGATCCCATCGCGGAGATACGGTGCGGCAAGCACCTGAAGTTCGTTCCTCCAGGGGTCAGACTCCGGGTTGGGAAGCAGGATCAGCGGTGGGTTCGCCTGCGGATTTGGGCGTAGTTGCATGCTCCTCGATGACGACCCCACATCTGGGTGAGCACCTGTGGCCTTTGAGGCTGGAGCCGATGGGGCACTGCTTCTGCTGCGCGGAAGTGGAGATCGATTGCTTCTCGGTCGTCGGGATGAGGCTTTAGTTGCCGTAGGCGCCCGGGATGAGGACTTGGCTGCTGTGGGCGCCGACGCGGCAGGATCCGATGCTGCCGTGGAGTTGTCCGATGTTGAGTCCCTTCGGGAGATCGGTGGTGGCGTCCTGGAGCGAGCTCGACCTCGCCGCTGTGGGGGCACTGACTTGGAGTAGGGGGAAGCGTTGTGGGAACGTGATCGATCTCCCTCCGTTGTGTGGCGTGACCTGGATGGTGGGTTGGGCGGTGGAAGCATCTGACCTGATGGGGTTGCCGTAGGGATCGGTGCGATAGGGGTCGGTGCTGTGGTCATAGGTGGGCATGCTGTAGTTGAAGCTGTTGGGGTAGTTGGCGTCATTGGAGTCATTGGAGTCATCGGTGTGGCCGGGCGTGCTTTCACCAGGATTTGCGGCAGGGGGCCAGCTACTGATGCAGGCCAGACAGCAATGTAGGGATCGATGCCGAGGCGTCGCCGGGAGCAGGAGCCGGAACCGCAGGTTTGGTAGCCCTTGAGGTGCTGGACACCGCGCAAGATATGCTAGAAGCTGGTGTCACAAGCGCACTCCTGCTCGGTGATGCTGTCTGGTGCACTGGTGACCTGGGCGGCGTAGGGCCGGCAGTGTTCCTGGATGCCTTGGTCATGGGGCCTGCTGAGTTCGACATCGGACCTGCGTTGGGGCGAGGCATCTGTTGCCGACAATTGCGAGCCAAGAGCAAGCTGACGGCGTCATGATTTCTCGCCTGATGTGTCGGGTGGTCTGGTGG